GTGGCCGGGTCTCATTGCCTTAACCAGTCTCTTTATCTACTCAAGACTTTCAAACTTGTCTGCTGGATAAGGAGTACGGTTTAGTTATTAATCTTCATAATACCTCGCCATCTCTGGCACCACCTCCTGGTGACTGGTGCTGACCAGGACCAGTACTGCTGACCTGTTTCTGGTCACCCTTGAGAGCTGCCCACCTCTCTGCTCATCCAGCATTACCTCCTGCCGCTGTTGCCTCCAGTGCTGCTCTGTCTGGCATCTGGTGCTGTCCAGCCAGCCCTTCAGAATGTTATTGTGGCTGCTGTGGTGTGTCAGCAATCTCCCCTGTGATCTGCAGCTGCCACTATGAGCTGGATCTTAGCCCACTGTTTATTGGTGCACCATCAGCTCCAGGCCCTCGTCAGAACAGTACCATCTTGCTCTAGCAGTCTTCCTTCTGGAATACTAGATACTGAGGGTACTACTTGGGATAAGAGAGCAGGCTATTTGTGGCCTTGGAAACAGTTTTCTGCAATCTTCCTTTTGTTAATAAACCCCATTGTGCATGCTCAGCCTGTGTGGTGTCTGCATCCCTAGTGCATGTTTAAGAACCCACAGGCAATAAACTGCCCCCCACCTTGGCACTGTGTCAGCTCCTGTATGAATACCAAAGGGCACCAAATTGTCACCAAACGACAAGATTACTCGCCAGGAATCTCACGCTCGGTTGTCTAGATTCATGGCATCATGCTGTGTGCCAGCTATTTTCAAGTCTTGAGTAGAGTGAAAAGGAAGCCGTCAGGGCCCCTGCCCTGTCCAAGCTCCCAGGCAAGGACAGTGAAGTGGGCTAGCACCAGGAAGGCAGCATGCGGGAGGTGCGGGAGGTGTGGGAGCACACGGGCCACCACTAACCTGGGCCAGAGGGGTCAGTCTTAGGTCCCAAGGGATGAACACAAAGGAGGGAAGTAAATGAGTAGCTCGTACATGAAGTGGCCTAAAGGGAAACAGAGAAGGGAATGTAAGGGGAAGTGAAGAGCACAGTGCTCCTCATTCATTCAAAAACATTTATTAGTGGAGATTATGAATCAAGCATCCAGACTACAGTAGTAAAGAGACCAGATGATATACTCCTTCTCCTAGCAGTCTAATGATCAAACCATGTAATCTTTTTGAAAGAGGTGGATTAAAATATTTTATTTCACACAATAAAATTGCTTCTAGAACAATTTAAGTGCCCAGCACTTACTTATTGAAGGGGGGAAAATAATAATTATTTCTGGCTTAGATAATGCCAGAAAATAAGTAGCCCAGTGGTCCCCTCTTCTGCCATATATCCCCCTAATATCACCCCATCTTTCCCAAAGAATCCAGCCTTCATCAATATGGAGGGTCTGTAGAGGATTTTGAACCAGCAAGTCCTGAGAGGCTTCATTCAGCCCAAGTGTACACAGGACCTGGATGGCTTCAAATAGATAAGTACATGATCCAGGTTAGACTTTAGACAACTCACTCTTGTCCTGTGGCAGGGACAAGATTAGGAAGACTGATCAAGGTGTTGGCCTAGTGATCCATGAGAAATAACACAGTTGTGTAGAAAAAGGAAAGTGGAGGACTTTGATATTTGTCTTATGAGTTACAGGGCAGGGAGAGAGGGGCACCCCTGAAGCCCCAAACCTGCCTGCTCTAAGTGGGTTCTGCCATCTGCCACATCAAGACAACATGTAAACATATAAAACATAATGAAAAGGAACTTTAATACAGTGAGTATACAATACGGAACACAAAGAATATAATTTCTAAATCAAACACCTGAAGTTTCCCTGCCCTCGTGGGCAAAAGTCCACCCAAAAGGGATTGGCCCAAAGCAAGGCCTGAAAGCTGCCACAAGACTAAAGCACCTTCTGGCCGGGACCCATGGAAAAGGGTCAGAAATGGCCAGACAAATCTGGGAAGAAAAGAGCAAAATCAAAATCAATATAAACACTGCCATAGTCACCTCCCTATGGGTCTCTCACCCACATCTGCCTTCACCAGTCCAGGGTCAGGAAACAAGCCCTGTTTCTTCCTAACATGCTTGCTGCTCCATGTGTCTTCCTCAGGTCTCCTTCTGGCTCTCCAATCTGCTTCCTTCTCTTCTCTTTTTCTCTCCTCAGCTCCACCCTCCTTCTGGGTGGGGCAGGGAAGCTGGAACTTCCCCTTTTCTTAGGGACCACCTTGTTACACTAACAGTTGCAGGGCAATCGCTGTTTGCTGGTTCAGGACATCATTTCCCCCTAACATAACCAACAATATCATCAGTTTGGGTGAGGAAAAAGGAAAGGTAAAAATTAGCTTAGAGGTTTTAAATTAAGTAACTAAATTAAGCTGGAGGCCTGTATGTTTTAGGCTCAGAACTGAAGTTGTGTTAACAAGTGAGGTGGGGAAAAGTGCAGAAAGCAAGTCTTCATGCTGTTTAGACATTCTATCACAGAGCTGAATTTTCATCCTGAAGGCACAAGTGAGGCCCTGAATAATTTGAAGAGATTGTTTTGTTATGTTAAAAACTCACTCTGCAGGCCCTCCCTGGTGTCACAAAGGGTTAAGATGCAGCACTGCAAGCTAGCAGCTGGCCTTCTGTGTGAGTTCCATCCCTCATCCAGAGGTGGGAGGTGATCCACACCTCTTCTGACACACCTGCTGCTCCTCTCGGCAGTGTACTTCCTAGATCTGCATGTTTTGTTCCCCCTTCTGTTCCCTGCACCTATGGCTTGTATCCAGTTTTGTATGAATAAATAAATAAATCTTTAAAAAAAAAACTCACTCTGGAGATATTAGAATGGGGTGGAAATGGTGATGAAGGGGGAGTGGGAGGCTGAGGGGTGCTGATATGCTAACAATTCACGCAAGGATGGTCACCCTCTTTGGAATTTAAATGCATATTTTGTCATTGCTGGTTTCAACACCTGGGAATTTGCTAGCTGAGGGGCTAAACTGAGGATGGAAGCAGGACCAGTAAAGTCTTCACCCCACCCCCACAACCTACAAATGCAGAATCCCATCTTTTTAGCAAACCACAAAAAATTCCACTTTGCTATCTAGTCCGGCTGTATTTAAACTCCTCTGGGAAACACCAGAGAGAAGACCATGCCCCAAACTACTTGAGGAGGGGAACTAATGCTAATTTATGTTAATTTCCAGTTTCAATTCCTTATTGTATTTAACAATTAAATTTTTTTTTAAAAAATATCAGATTAATTGAACACTGTACTCCTTCTCCCAGCAGTCTAATTATCACAACCATGTAATCTTTTTAAAATAGGTGGATTAAAATATTTTATTTCACACAAGGCTACTAGAACAATTTCTTAAGTGCCAAGAACTTGCTTATTGAAGGGAGGAAAATAACAATTATTTCTGGCGTAGATAATGCCAGAAAATAAGGCCTAGATAATGCCAGAAAATAAGTAGCCCAGTTGTTCCCCTCTTCTGTCATATACCCCCCTAAAATCACCCCATCTTTCCCATAGAATACAGCCTTCATCAATATGAAGGGTCTGTAGAGGATTTTCAACCAGCAAGTCCTGATTTCAGTCTCGTGTGTTTAATATCCCATAATGTTGTACCTGTATTGAACCAAGCTAATGCCATTTCGTGCTAAACGTATTTTCCTCTAATGTATCCTGCTGGCTGCGGTAGGAAATTCAACAAATAACTTTGCTGTAAAGGGAAGAAAACTTGTAAAACTGATTAAATTGATTGCCATCTGCAACAGGGCCAGGATACAGGTCATATGATCAGGTCATATGATCCTAGTGATGTCCTCTTTTGAGTTTGGGGTCCTTGGGTTCACTCTGGGAAAGGTTTCTCCAGAGCTTCCCTTTCAGCGGCACGTGGCAAGATTCTCCACGAGGCAGAGACTCAGTCTGATTTTTAAAGAGTAAAGTTTATTAGGAAGAGACAGGAGAGAAAAGACACTTGAATAGACGCAAGCGGGCAGAAAGAGCTGCTCCGAAAGGGACAGGTTTGCCTGCATGATTGCAGGCGGGTGGTCTTAGGAGAGGCCTCCGCTGAGGGAGGTCAGTGCGTACTGTGCATACAGTGGCATAGGTCATGGGCAGGCAGGATGCTGTTGCCCTGCAAAGGGAGAGAGTGGGTGGAAAGAAGCACCTGCATAGGCACAGGTGGGCAGGTTGGTTGACTTTGAATAGAATCTGAAGAGATTTCTGATGACCTTCATCTCCATGTCCTTATCTTTCCCCTTTTGGATTTGAGCTTCAGACACAGCTCCCAACAGTCTGTTATCTGCTGGGAACTCCTGCAGATATTCAGGCATCTGGCATGGGTTGACCTTGACGCTATGGTTGTGTCAGTTGCTGCACTAACCCCTTCTATGTCAGTCTTGTGATGCCTCCTCTGCATTCCTTCCTCCATCCCTAGGGCACACTGCAAGAATGTTATCTCTGTACAACTAAGTTTTGTTTCCTTGCCTGCATTGAATAAAAACTGGTTTTTGTAACTGCTCGGGGCCACACTCTCTAGAGGGTGTTGGTCCCGGCTGGCCGGTATTCTGAAGCCTGAATTAAATCTTGAATCTCTGTCTCCACCTTCCTTGACTGCTTCCTCCCAGCAGCTCCAACAATATAATGTGATAAAGTTAAGACAATGCAAATTTGTGTATTGGCCTTGCTACTTATCTCTGGGTTTTAATGACCTCAAAAAACTGTTCCATTACATGAGTCAGCATATTCATGTTGACTTAAATAGTGCTTAAGTAGTTATTGGAACACTGAGATTATAGAAGTGCTTTGTGTCATCACCATTATTATTATTGATATTTCTGCTACTCCTTCTGTTAAGGGAAAGGATGTCCTAAAGGGACTCTGCAGAGTCTTATGGACTCCACCCCCTACTCCAGCTTTCTGGACACTATCCCCTACTCCAGTGATCGGAAACTACAACTCCCAGCAGTACCAGGGAGAGAACTGCAAGGACCCAAGGGCAGAGCTAGCAGGAATTCTGGGACACTTGGGGGATAGATAGGGCATGATTACATCTCTTGCTCTCGCTCGGGAAACGGCTCTCCAGACCCCGTGACTCGGTGTGTTCAGTCAACTGAGACTAAGGTACTCCAGTTACTTTGTACCCCACTCTCTTTCCCTTGGTTGTTTCCTATTCCTTTTCCCTTTTGTAAATAAACCTGTTATTGACTCTTTTGTGTGTACTTGCAGTATAACTGAATTGTGAGCTCACTGGTGAGGCCCCACAGACAGGCGGCCCAGTTCACTCTGGGATACCCTGTAGTGTTACCCTGTAACACTTCTACTTTGGTGGGAAGAGATGATTGATTGTTTACTCTATGGTATGAATTTAAGATACTGATCCATTCTATCAGGGAGGTCTGTCCCAAAGTCCAAGTTCCAATGGTGAAATAAAAAGACATTTTAGACTGAAGGGAAGTACAGAAAAGACCCCATATAAGTAGTTTTTCTTCCTGAAGGAAGCCTCCTGGGTGAGCTCCAGCTGCCTGCTCTTGAGGAGAGAACACTGTTGTCTTGGGCCCTTTCTTGTCTCCCCAGAGGAGTCAATCTGTAACAGAGTGCTCCCTAGGAAAAGGGGAAGTTCCAGATTCCCTGCCCCACCCAGAAGGAGGGTGAAGCTGAGCAGAGAAAAAGGAATGAAGCTGGAGGGAGAACAAGAAGGAGACCTGAGGAAGCCATATGGAGCAGCAAGCATGTGATGAAGAAACTGGGCTTGTTTCCTGGCCCTGGACTGGTTAAGGCAGATGTGGGTGAGAGACCCGTAGGGAGGTGACTATGGCAGTGTTTATATTGATTTTGATTTTGCTCTTTTCCTCCCAGATTTGTCTGGCCATGTCTGACCCTTTTCCATGGGTCCCAGCCAGAAGGTGCTTTAGTCTTGTGGCAGCTTTCAGGCCTTGTTTTGGGCCAATCCCTTTTGGGTTGATTTTTGCCTATGAGGGGATGGGTCACTTCAGGTGTTTGATTTAGAAGTTATATTCTTTGTGTTCCGTATTGTATATTCACTGTATTAAAGTCCCTTTTCATTAAAGTTTTATACGTTTTGTCTTGATGCGGCGGATGGCAGAACCCACTTAGAGCAGGCAGTTTTTGGGGCTTCAGGGGTGTCCCTTTCCCCCAGCCCTGTAACATTTGGTGTACTATAACAAATTTCATCCTGAAACAGATTTGGTGTCCTGTAACAGATTTGATAGCTGACTTTGTTGAGACTGAGGTGCAAACAAAGCATGGAATCTGAGGGGGAAATGGCGCAGTCAAAACTGGTCTGTTCCCAACCAGCTCTAGAAGGAGCTATTCAGATTCAGGTATGTGTGTATTTTTGTCATTTGGTGGGAGTGGAGGTGATATTTACACACCACACATGCACAGGGGCCAGCCTGAGCAAGTCACCCTTGAGTGTTTGTGGGCTGTGAACAGAAAGAACAATTTCCTACAGCTCATCCAGGACACTAGCAGAGCTACTTCCTCTGTAGTCTGCAGGGCAGTGGGCAGTGCAGGCAGGAGGCCATGAGTCTACCTCAGTAATCAGATGACCAGGGCTCTTGATTTCAGTCAGAGACTGAGGCAGCTGCAAAGCCCCAGATCAGAGCAGAAAGATGTAAAGAGACAGAAAGTTTGGTGTTTTCATATTAATGAGCCCAAGCTATGTTGGATCATTGTTTAGAAAAATGATTTAATTTTCTTTTTTTTCCCACTCAATCAGTAATTTAATAATGGAAAAAGTGAATAGTGTTAAAGTTGCAAAAGTCACCAATTGTCCAGGAGGCCTGAAAGGGTAAAATACAATTATACATTGTAATAGAACCTAGCAGAGGGCCTTCCAGCCCCTGGTTCAAAGCACTCAGCTATGCTTTTGGAGAGGCATAAACAATGCAGGAACCTATAATTGCTGTGTCAGTCATGGTATCCATGCAGAATACTAAGTATCACTCTGAGCTACTGACATCCTGGTGTTGGAAGTGAGAGTAGGGAAAGAGGCAGAACTATTCTGTCCTCTGCTGGAAGGACCCCAAAGACTGGGTAGTTTCATGTTCCCTGCTCCCCAGACCCCTTTTGAGGTCTCTATCAACCCCTTCCCAGAAATGTCAGCAAGTGACCTTTCATCCATACTCACCTTTCTCTCCACACACAGAACCCCCAGGAGACCTGAGTTGAGGAAAGGTGTTGCTTTAGCAACCCTCCTCCCCCACAGTAAATTCAAATAATGGCTCATGTACAACATTCTAGAGCAGTGCTGTCCAATAAAAACAACACTACCATCTATGTAAATTTTTATTTCCTAATAACTACTTTAAAAACAGTTTAAAAGTAGGTAGATGCACCCCCATGTTTATTGCTACTTTATTTACAATTGGAAAGACATGGAAACAACCCAAATGCCCAAAAGTAGATGACTGGACTAAAAAGACATGGTATATATACATGATGGAATATTATTCAGTAATAAAAAAAAAAACCATGACTTTTGCAGCAACATGGATAGAGTTGGAAGGCATCATGCTTACTGAAATAGGCCAGAAAGAAAAGGAAAAATACCAGATGGTTTCACTCATAGCAGGAGTATAAAGGCCCAGACAAGAAAATAATAATAATAATGAACAACTATATACCAGAGACATTTTATGGGGTGGAGTGGGGAACGGGATCAAAAACAGTGGGAGGAAGGAAGTGCACTGGACTATGGTGATGGCACAGGGTGATTTGGAGATGGGAAGCCCATGGGGATTACAACTGAGATGGAAAAATGCACAAACTGTTGTAAAAATAAACATATTATTAAATAAAATAGTAAAATGGAATTAAAACAAGAAAAAGAAGTAGGTGAAATCAACTATAATAATGCATTTTATTTAACTTAATGTTGGGAGTGACCAAAGATTTATTGACAAGGAAAGAATTGAGCCTCGCATCCAAGCTTGATAAGGGGGTAATAAACTGACCTTGCATCTGGGATGGAACAGAGCAATGAGTCACCCCTTTGGAATGTGAACCTAGAATCTATATAAAAAGACCGTTTTCCCCTATAGCACTGGCAGTAGCTGCGTACCCCACGCGAGGGGCTCCAGCTGCTCTCCGGGAGCAATAAACTCCACTTGCTCAGCCTTTCTGCCTCCCATCTTTCTTTCTTGCAGACGGTCACAGAAGTTGGGACATAAACTTAATATAATAAAAATATTCTAATTTCAACCTGAATCTATTTTTTTTTATTTTATAACAGTTTATTTTTACATCATTTTGTACATTTTTTTTTTCCATCTCAATTGTAATCCCCGCTAACGTGAATCTATTTTAAAAGGTTTTTGGGGGACGGCCCTCCCTGGTGGCGCAGCAGGTTAAAGCACAGCACTAAGAATCTAAAGCCACTTCAGCATGAGTTAGATTCCCGCCTGCCCCGGAGGTGACCCAGGTGGCACAGTTGACCTCTTCTGACCCACCCGCTGCTCCCCTCAGCTGTGTACTTCATCAGTCTGACTGTTCTGCTCCCCACTTTGTCTCTGGTGAAGACTCTCACTGCCCCTGCACCTCTGGCCTGTACCCCAGTTCTGTATGCATAAATAAATCTTTATTTAAAAAGATTGCCATATTTCTGTACTAAACATTTTATTTATATACTAAATATTTTAAACTAGATGTATATTTAAGACTTGAAGTACATCTCAGACCAGGTACATTCAAGGGCTCGGTGGCCACATGTAGCCAGTAGGTAGCCCACCCTTGGGAACCAAAAGGGCCTTTGCTGCAGGCCCATTCCCCACATGCCCACCTAATCCCTGTGTGGAGGAGAGCCCAGCCCAGCTCTGAAGGCCTGGCACCACCCCTGTGGCTGACTTCCTCTGCCTGCTGCCTGTAGCAGAAACTTTTCCGGGTTGGAGAAAATGGCCAGAGAGCCCATGCTGGTCCTACAACTTCTGAGATTAGAAGAAACTTCACTATGTACAGGAACCAGGACCCACAGGAGACGAATTTTCAACAAAGATCCACTATCTGGAGGCTTGGAGAAAGGGGTCAGCAACTCTACTCCGGGCCCCTGGACCTAGCAGAGGCCTCCACTGTCTGCAGCCTGTGTGCCCACGCAGCCCTCTCCAAGAATTGCAAGAGGCAGCAGCATGGCAGCCTTTGCCCCCATCCCACCCCTCCCCCACCCCATTCTCACTCCTCCCCACCAGGTGTCAGAGCAGCTGTGTCAGTCCTGCCTGCAGACTTTTTCTAATGTGACTCAGCCTGCAGCTGGGCCTCTACAGGTACCCCGCAGAGTGGTCTGAGTGAATTGCTGCATTTCAGTGGCGTAAATAACTATGGTTGGGACTCCAACTGAGAAAGAAAAGGGCACGGCCTCCCCATTTGTGGGGAGGAGCTGAAAACAAACCATGCATTCTTAGCTCTTTCTGCAAACCAATTTTAAAAACAGCTCCCCTCAAAGGGCCTCAGTTTCTGTCACTTTTTCCCCATTGAACTTCAGGTTACCCTGAGATTCTTTCATCATTTCATTCAAACTTCTATCTCTCAACCCAACTTGTTCTTCTTTCTCATCTCTTAGGGAAAACAGCATCCTTTTTTTTTAGTCCAAAGCATAATTACCCTTTCAGTCCATGCCCCTGGTCTCACTTAGCCCAAATCTCACTTAATCATCTGAGTCTGTGCTTCCTGCTCCCTGTCTTACTTATCCTTTCTGTAGCTCACAAGTAAGTCTCTCAGCAACCTTCACCAATGCCATCCTCTGGCTGCAACTTCTTCCTGCATACTCTTTTCTTCCTGCTCCTTTGCAAACTGGCTCCCCTCCCCTGACTCTCAGAGGTTACTAAGACCCTGATCACATACATTCTAGAACTCATGCTTCTCTCAGAGCCACAAGGTCCAACACTCCTCCCCTTATCACAAGGGTAGACAGTTCATCATGCACTAAATCTTTCTGGGTAGCCACAACCCCTCTATAATGGGAATAAAACCACAGTAAGGGGCTGACATTTGTTAAGGCCATTGGGCTTCTTGATTTCAAGGCCCATTGGTGTTCATCCATTCAGTCACCCTTTTAAAAAATATTTATCGAATATCTACTGGGTCTGGGTCATGTACTGAAGATCTATTAGTGAACCCAACAGCAAGAGTCCTACCCTTATAAAAATTTCATTCTATTAGTGAGATTTTAAAGAGGAAAATATTATTTTTAAAACATTTATTTATTTATGCATACAGAACTGGGGTACAGGTGAGAGGTATGGGGCAGTGAGAGGATTCACCAGAGACAGAGTGGGGAGCAGAACAGGCTGACTGACAAAGTACACTGCTGAGGGGAGCAGTGGATGAGACAGGAGAGGTCTGCTGCTCCATGTGGACTCCTCTGGGGCAGGGGATAGAACTTACTGAAGCGGCTGCATCTCCCTTGCAGTGCTGCATCCTAGACCATTGCATCACCTGAGAGGGCCCAGAAAATATTATTTTTAAAGCTGAAGATAATGGAGTAGTGGCAAGTGCTATGAAATATGAAAGAGAGGCTTGAAGCAGGGAAGTACAATTCAATTTTTAATAAGCCTTTGTTATATTATATACTATTATATAAATTTCAGTTGTATGGCATTATGCTTCAACATTTATATATATTACATCATGATCATTGATAAAAATCTAGTTTCTATACAATCGACTGTGTGGTCAAGGAAAGCTTCTCTGAGGAGGAAACCTTTAATCTGACACCTGAATGAAATAATCCTCCAGCCAATCTAACATGCAACTGGTAGTAGCAACATAAACAGTTGTGTCATCTATGTGCAATACTGGGCGCAGACAAGATAAGATGAAGGGTTAGAACATGAGTTACAAAGATGAGAAGGAACTTGCTGGGAGAAAAAGGGAACTGGTATCACAGGAGCTTGATAAGTATAGAGGCCAAAGATGTGCCCAGGGTCAAACCAGGCATGTCTAGAGTCCATCTCAATATGACATTTGGATTTTATTCTCAGTGCCTGAGATGGTTTTCTGGAGGCAATTGACATGTCCTGTTTGAAAAGACTATTTCTGGCTTTAGGGGGTGCATCTTTAAAGATGTTACTGAGATGTATGCCTAAAGGGACAAAAGGAAAGATGAACAGCTGGGATTGCAGCAAATTAAAAAGATTCTGTACAACAAAAGAGAAATTAACTAAAACAGACACTCTACTGATTGGGAGAAAACATGTACACACAATACAACTGATAATGGACTGATCACAAAGATCTACAGAGAGCTATATAAGTTCAACAAAACGAAGTAAACAATCCAGTTTAAAAAAAAAAAAGGAGGGAGGTAGGCAGAAGAGTTAAAAGGATA